CAGTGTCTGCTTGCTTCAATTAGAGATTGCTTGGCTGTCTGACTTTACAGTGCACTCGCCAGCTCGCCGGCCTTGGTTGTGCTTGCCTGTACGCTCTCCTTTGGCTCTCCTCTGTGTGGGTGTTCCTGTGTGTCTTTGGAAAAGATGGCACGCTTCAGTGTTTAGTGTTGCTTTTGCAGTTTTCTGGTGTACACGTGCATGTGTGTGTGTTCATTCAGAACTGTTACCTCGTCACTGAGTCAGTGTGTCCGGTGTGTGTGTTGTTCCAGGAGTCTGAGGCCAGTAAGAATTTTGAGGAGGCTTCATCCTCCATAGACGTCAAGGTACTCTGACCACGCGGTGTGACGCCCATCCACCACCATTCATTCATTCATTCATTCATTCAACAGATTTGTCAACCTGTTTTGTAATGGTTCTGGTTTTGTATCCTGAAGCTGTCGGAGAAGGTTCTGGACATCAATGACCTGTCTGGCACTGTTAGTCCACTGGAGAAAGACGGCAAAGAGGAAACAAAAGAAGAGGATGATAAGGAGGAGGCAAAGACAATGAGGGCAGAGTCTGCCAAAAGGTTTGTTGTTTTGATATTGTTCCTGGGAATATCCATATCCAGTCTTGAATAGTGTCTTACACATATTGTTTTTTTTGTCACGGTGATTTCAGCTGTGATATTGTCACTTGTGAAAATCCTCAGGAGCCAAATATTTCTTTGTGAGAGTCCCAACTATTACATTTATTGTGTGCAGTCATTAAGCCATAGTATCAGTATTAGTAACAACTTCCTCCCTCTTCAGGCATTTACAGGCTGCTGGCAAAGACAACCCTTCAGCTCCCAAAGTTGACCGACTGGTCCTCCACCAGTCCAGCCCTTCGCCCTCCCTGTCAAGCCCGTCCCACTCAGAGCAAAGTGCCGGGCTCCAACTCAAAACCGAAGGCCTCGGCACGTCTCTGGGGCTACAAAGGCCAGAAACCTCCAGAGGTCGGCTGGTCCGCACTTCCAACACACAACTCGAAGACGCTGACCCCCCTTTACAAAACCAAGAGAGCCCACTGAAAGAAGAGGCAAGCTGGAGAATCCAGAAAGACAGAGAGAAGAAAGAAGAGGAGGAGGATGAGGAGGAGGAGGAGGAGGAAGAGAGGAGGAGGAGAGCGAGGAAAGAGGAGAGGGAGAGGGAGTGGAGGAAGGCTGATCGAGAGGTGGACGAGGACAGGGAGCGTTTGATGAAGGAGAAGGAGAAGAGAATGCGTCTCCTTCAGGAGGAGCTGAGGCGAGAGGAGGAGGAGGAGGAGAGGAAGCTGAAGGAGGAGAGCGAGGAGAGACTGAGGTAGCCATGGAGAGTGTAACACCAAACCTTTACTGCCTTATTACATTACAGCACACTGGTCACAGAAGTCCTTTAAACTATGGTTGCACAATGAATCAAAATATTATCGAAAATCACAATATGGCCAAATCCAATATGCAAATCACACAAGGCTTACTTACAACTCAGGATACTTCTACTTATTCAACCGTGTCCCAGTGTATTAGCAAAAGAACAGTTATGATTGATACATTTTGAGCTGATAAAAATCCTACATTTGACTAAAAACCTTACTTTCAGAGCAATTTCCTAATTCATAAATGCATGTGTGCGTCTCCCCAGGGCGCTGCGGCAGAGTCTCCTGTCTAAGAGGAGAGAGGAGGAGGCCAGGCTGAATCAGGAGTCTGACAGGATGCTGGAGGAACTCAGAGAGTCTGCCAAGGGGGAGAGGGAGAAGCAGCAACACAAACTCAGGTCATACACACAAAGGCTACATCTGCCACACTACTACTACTATACTCACTTATTATGTACTGGGACATAAAAACATTTGGGAACTCCTGCTTTATAGAATATGACCCTTGCAGTTCCCCAAAATGACACTGATGTGTGTGTGTCCTGTGCTCAGGGAGGAGAGTGAAGTCATGCTAAAGGAGTTACACATCACTCTAGAAGAAGAACGAGTGGCGGAGCGTGACAAGTTGGAGGCCAAGAAGAGGCAGGACATTGAACGTCTGAAGGCAGAGTCAGAAGAGGAGCTCCAAGCTGAGAAGAGGAGACTCAAGGGAGAGAGGGAGGAGAAGCTGAACTCTCTGAAACAGGAGGTGAGTGACTGATTTTTTTCAGTATCGATTAATCCATCATTCAATTTTTGGTGTTTTTTTGTTCGTAGATACGCCAACGTAATCCTTGGGGGCAAATGTGACCAAGTGTGTCCACTAAAAGTGCTTGTTTTTGCCACTGTCAGGCACGGATTGTTATTCTAAGTGTCAAATGGCAACATTATGGAAAGGATCCCTACAGAGATAGACCTTTTTGTTAAAGATTTAGATCCTTTTTGTGTAACGAGAAACAGTCATTATATGGCTCTGTTCAAAACCACCAGACTCAGAAACAGTCATTTTACTTTTTTTGTGATTATATTACTCATTTTGAGTGTTCTAGTTTTACTACAGTGCTGCACTAAGTGTAATTGATAAGAGCTATTTATAAAGGCATATTTGAGTTAGTGGAACTGTGAACAATATAAAATATATTTTTTTACTGTGTTATTTTGTGAAGAAGAGAGAGAGAGAAAAAAAAAAACTTTAAAGAACTTGGCTATTTTTAGTCTTAATGCATTGCAGAGCTATCCAGTTGTCAAGCTGATCCATTGGATAGATTTGAATAGCTTTAAAGAGGCACTGTGCAACTGTATCTAAGAATATACAGGTACAACTTTATCGGGACATCCCTAAATTTTGTTCATGCACCTGGCATGATTCGTCTTGAGAATGCTTTTCTGTACGACTAATGACGAACATCTCCGAATAAACTGAAACTAAACACAAATACTAGGATAGCAAGGAGCTTGACAAAAAATCAGTGTAATTTAAGTTTAATAAATAGCTACATTCAAATAGAGTCAGTGTTATTAAGCGGTCCAAACAAATGATTTATAGAGCTTCTTGACTCGCACTGGATGTTTCATATGTAGGGGAAAGATCAGCCTGAAGCCATTTTTGTCTGTGGTTACGTGTTGTGTTACACAAGTTGTAGTGACTCACCCTTCTGTCACCCTGTTCAGTACAGCTCTAGTTTCAGTTATTAGCAAACAGCAGGAGCAAGAATCCTGATGGTACTATCAAGTGCTTTACCCACATATTTTGTATCACAAATCAATAGAAATATGCCTTTTACACTTGTTTTTGAAAGGAAAATGTGGTGCTACTGTTTAGTCGAGTACGATAGGGCAGCCATATTCTTCCAGTTTTTAAGGAAAGCCATTAACGGGATATAAACTCTAAACATTAAGACTCTTAATATTTAAAACTGTCAAATAATCTCTGTGCAGTAGATTACCACGTCGTGTTAATGTTACAGATTTATGTTACACCAGACACATTTAGAAACACCAGAAGATCCAAAAGTTTGTTTGCTGTGGTACATGGTGGTATTGGACTTGAGGGACCCCAGATTAATGATCTCTCTATATGTGTGTCTATCTCTGTGTTTGCACTGTTTTGTCTGAATAAAGGTCAAAATCACAGAGAGGAGGAGGGAGCTCATGAGTCCACGACCTGAACAGCAACTGGCAGAGTACCACCGAGAGGTCAGAGGACACAGAATTTCATCATCATGTGTATTTCATTAAATATTCACTGGAATATGACTTTTTTTGTGCTGTGTACTAACCTTTCCTGTCACTGTCAAGCTGGCTGATGTTCTCCAGGAAGTGCGGGAGGAAGTGCAGCGTGATCACGAGAGGAAGCTGGAGCAGCTGAGGGAGGACCACAGGAGAGAGATGAACAGCATCCGAGAGAAATACCTGGATGAGGTCAGAGAGTGTTTACATTTCATATTCAGCTGATGCGTGCCCTCACCCTGTACGGCTTGCAATAATGGAAACCGTAAAATATGTTTATGTGAGTGTGCTGTATTTTTGTTTCTAGCAGGCATCAGTAAAGAACTTCTGGTGCAAAATTATATTATGTTTGTGTGTTCCAGGAGACTGCTCAGAGGGAGCGCTTGCTTTCCACTCTACAGGAGGACAGAGAGCGTCTCCAGGCCTCACATGCTGTCCAACTGGAGAAACTCCGCCTGCAGCTCGACACACAGATACAAAAGACACAGCTGACACACTCACGCAAGGTGAGACCAGACAGACACACACATTCACTAACGATGCAGCGCTGCACGCGTGGTGCCGTTATAAGCTGATGGCTCGCAGGGCATCCTTTCCACCTGCTATCACTGTTTGTTATATGCTGTTTGATTTGAAATCTGGGGTTTTAATGTGAAACATGTCTCCATTATTTGGACTGAAACTAAAGGGAAGCCTTTTCTAAAATAATAATTACTTTACTCCAGACAACACATTTGTCTTATTTTTTCTTTTAGGAGTCAGAACTGCAGGATCTGGCAGATCAGTTGGAGCTGAGAGCCAAAGAGCTGAAGAGCCAGGAGGCCATGCTGCAGACCAAGGTCTTCTATCGCATACCTCATGTATTAATCACTGATAAACTAACTTAAACCACATGAACTTATGGTTTCTGTCTCTTTTCAGGCAGCAGATCTGAAGAGGAGGAGGAAGAAGCTTGGGGAGGAAGAGGACGACGTGGAGAGACAGATAGAGGTGGGATACAACTATGAAAAGAGAGGTATTATGTACTCACGTCTACCTATCAACCCCTGACTTCTCCACTTACGTGTGTGTGTGTCCAGGCGTTACCCCGGCTGATCCACGAGAGAGACCAGTTGAAAGAGGAGCTGGAGAGGATGAGAGAGGAGAAACATCAAGCCAGAGAACTCATCCAGAGAGCGAGGGAGGAGAGGAGTGAGGCCAAGGAGCAGCAGGAGATTTTGAGGGAGGAGAGAGACAGAGCTAGGGAAGAGAGCAGGAGGGTCAGGGAGGACAAGGAACGACTGCAGAGCAAGGTGGCGCTGCTGCAGGAGAGATGCAACCATCTCAGTCGCAGAGCCAGGTATAGTTTCCTGCACAGGACGTCCACTCATCCTGTGTTTTTACTTCAGCTTCAGCCAATGGGATTATTTAACTGGGGAGAATGATAGTATTTCCAGTGTTCATGGTTTGTTTTGGCAAGTTAGTTGTCATTTTAAAGTGTCTTATTTTGTTCAATCAGTGACATGGAACAAGGCGAAGGAGTGAGCTGCAACCCCAGACCAGAACCTAAACAGGACAAAAAGAATGCAGAGAAAGCAGAGGTGGTGGCGCCCTCAAGTGACAGAAGAGACTCATTGCTACATCTGGAAGACCTGGAGGACCCGCCACTCTCCCCTGTACCTGACAGCCACAGCAGCATGGAAGAGTAAAGAGATAGACACAGAAAACAGAGAATAAATGTGTGGTTATAAAAGCACAATTCTGGCTATGTGGTAATAACAGGTTACAGAATACAGATCTGTTTTAGGGCTACAAAGTTGTCAGTTCGTACTGGTGTTTGATGGGTTACTGAAAGCTGATACAAATACTGTATTAATAGCTGATTTGCCAATCTTCAATATTTCTACATGTAATTTTAGTGCCACAAAAATATGATAATAATCTATTTTATTTACTTTTCAAGATATTAAAAGATACTTTACATCTTCACTTACAAGTTAGATGAATGAATCTAGAGAACTGAAACACAGTAAAGTGACAAGATAGCACAGGAAAGTAAACCAATCATTTAAAGCAGTTTTGAGTAACTTATTAGATATAGCAAGTTTGGTGTGTTTAGAGAGCGTATTCCAGAGGGAGGATGGCTGGATGGACAAGGGGTTAGCATCAGGGGAAGGAACAGAGGCTGCGGAAGGTAGAGTGGTGGTGGAGGGGGCCTGATAGAGGACTTTGTGAGTGAAGAAAAGGAGTGTGTATTGAAGCCGCTGTGTAAAAAATTTGGTTGCGTATTAGAGATCTGTTGACGGTATGTGGTTTTGGTGAGAGATCTGGGAGCAATCATAATCATATATGATATGTCGCAGTATTTTTTGAGTAAAGTTGGCTTCTATCTATGATTTAAGTTCAGCTAGGGAGTTGGTCAGGGTGGAGTGAGTTGCATTAGAGATGTAGAGCTTGACCATGCCAATGGATGATGTTACCAAGGAGCTTGCAAGGGAGCATGTAGAGAATAAACAAGAGAGGACCAAGCAATGAACCCTGTGGGACGCCTTGAGATTCATGTAACTTTAGCTTAAAGACAGTTGATAGCAGGGCTAAGAATTGGTTTATTGTTGGTGCATCAGAAAATTAATTGTTTAGAAGACAACTCATGAGAGCGGGGCACAAGTGTGTATTTAACCTCAGCCCTAATCCCCACACTTCTGTGTCCAGGTTCAGACACTACATCTCCTCACATGGCGCATCCATCCAAAAAACTAAACTCTTCCTGGAGAGGGAGACCAGAAGGCTGATGGAGAGACAGGCAGCTCTGCGGGCAGCCCAGACCATCTCCTCACAGGACTCCAACCAGGAAGGAGGGGTAACTGAAGAGATGATAAGAAACCTACAGCAGGTAGGGAGGAGTGTGACCCACCTGAATAATAAATGAATGGTGAGACAGTGTTGAGTGCTGGCTGCTTACTTTCCCCTCATTGTGTCAGGAGGCCAGAAATGTTGTGGAGCTGCAGCAGACGGTTCAGAGAGGAAACACTCTCCTCCGGAGGAAAGAGGAGCAACTCCAGCAGTTGGAGAGCTCTATAGCTGAAGAGGTCAGCACAAAACATCAGTCATCACGTATCCGTAGTATTAATGTACACTCAGTTAAAGTAATACTTCACCTTGGTTAAGCGCTTTTATATTTTCACTGCAAACTTCATGGAGTCAACAAGCACATTTAGTCATAGGTGAAACAATCAGGGTGGTGGTGATAATTTATACTTAAAAAATCTATACACAAAAATGAGGAAAGTATAATGCATTTGTGATTTCCTTCTGCCTCATTTATCAGTCTTTCATATTTAATTTCCTTGCTCTCTCTGTGTTCAGGTGAATACTTTTTGCTGCTGGTAATCTGTATTATGTTAATCCTGGATGATACAGTTAGCTTTAAATGAAATTCTAAAATGAGTTTGTAGTTTATAACAAAATGACTTGTTGCTGACACATTGTCTTTTAAAGCTAAAGCAATTAAAATTTTCTTGAAAAAAATGGGCATATAAATAAGTTAATTTTGTGTTCCGCATTAGTTTGTATTCACTTTTATGTTCACTTTTCTGAAGATAAATCAAGTCAACAGATAATACTATACATACCAACAAATCATAGCTGTTATTAACTGCACTTTGTCCTGTTGCTTTCTATTTTAGCCGCTGTTTGAGGATCTGTCTCGGCTGGCAGGAGAAAGGAAGGTGACCTTTGATGTGACCGAATCTGACCTTAGCAGCACTGCGGACCCACCAGATGGGACAGGTAACACTTACTCATGGTTTTATCAAAGAACCTGACATATATAGGGATTGGGATCGAGATCCAGTTGAGAACTGGTTCCAAATTGTCTGATCCATTGGAATCGTATGCCACATGGCTTATCCTTAATTCCTTTCATCAATGCCGGCAGTTGCGCATTGCAAAACCATGATGTCACATTCATCCGTACAGTATGGCAGTATTTATGAAGACACTCAACCTACTATCACTTTACTATTTTTCTACACTTTGTTCCAACTCAAAGATAGTAAAATAGTTGCATTGACACTGAAAACCTGTGTAGGCCTTTTTTCCACACAGAAAATTGATTAGGAATCAAGAAGGAATTGTATTGGTATGAATAAAACCTTATGAATTCAAATAGACATGTACTGTTATTATTGCTATATTGCTGATATTTCAAACACTACTCTAAGATTATTATACTTTTCCAGCTACACTGACGTTGTGTTCCTCTCTTTCTCTCCATTTCTCCCTCTCTCCCTCAATAGGTCACCCCACTGTCCCGGACAAAGTCCAGGAGTTAGCAGAGTCTCTGCAGCAGATCTCAGGCCAGCTGAACACGGTCCTGGGTGCCTTGGGTTCACTGGCCCAGAGGCAAAGTGCCTCATCCTATACAGCCTTCCCTCCGCCTCTGTCTCAACCTCACTCCAACCCAGCTCCGACCTCCGCCACCTCCACCTCTGCCCCAGTCATGCCCCAGATGTACACCCTGGGCCCCAGCTCCTTACCTCCACCTCCCCCGTTGAGGCTTTCAGAGCCGTCCTGGAACTGGGCGCCTCAAGGCTCCTCGGCAGCCACCCCTCTCTTCAGTACCCCTGTCAGCAGTGGCCTAAGGGCCTCTGAGGACCTCTTCAACAGCCGATGGAGCCAGATATTCCCCAGTATGCAAACAGCCTTGTCATGTAGCTTTAGAATGAGTAAAGCACCAATAATGGGACTTGTTGTATAGTTGTTGTTTTTTTTATCCATGCCATCATTGTTGTTGGTTCTGAACTGTTGTTCTGTCCTGCAGGAGCAGCTACGAACCCAATCACCTCCAGCACCATGAGGCCACCCTCAGCTTACTCATACACTCCTATAAGGTAACCTGCAGCACACTTTTAACCACCCAATTACTATAAATTACATATCCTTGCTGTCTTAAATGTAATTACGACAATCCCAAAACGGTGTGTGTCTGTGTGTATCTAAGTGAACATGGTCGTAGCCTGCGGTCCATGCAGAAGTCAGTGGAGGTAGACGGCCAGAGGCTGCAGGGGCTGATTGACGGCAACAAGAGGTGGCTGGAGACGCGCAAGAAAGACACCAACATGTATCCTTGTATCACAAACTCTCATCCACTCACACTAACACACATAAATGTCAGTATGGTGTTGAAGCTACATAAAGACCACACAATCCGTACACGATGACAGTGATTGGTTTTCAAGGTTATCTCAGTGTTCCTGTTATAGCCTGACATGCCAGTATACTGTATGTTTATACCGTTACAAGTCTGTGACTATAGAGCAGTAATCTCCACTCATGTGGTAAAAAAAAAACAACTATCCCAACACATTTACAGTTCTTCCTCATGCCTATAAGTGAATGAGACGGGCACATTCATGCATGTCCAAAGCAGTGACTGGACTCCGGGTTTGTGTGTGTGCAACATCAGTCAAGCAATTAAGAGGATTGTTATTAGGAAGCTGGAATAGTAGAAAGCCTTATATGCTTTTTACACTCACATTTTTATTATTTCACATTATCACCATCTATTGTCTAAAGCACACCATTATTTGTCTGTTTTATTTACTGTTTTATGAACACAGCTGTTGTCTTTAACTCTGCCCACCAGACCTCTGTTCACTCGCTATCAGGCTCCTTCAACCAAGAGCGGCCTGGTCCAGCTGGGCCTGGACGATAACAACCAGATCAGAGTCTATCATTACTGAGGAGGACATGAACGCAAAGTTCCTGCTGTACCGTGACTATCACTGAGGACTTTGGAGCATTAATGACTGTGACAGGGCCTCACGTCAGAGTCCCGTGCCCTCTTTGATCCATTCCTTTTTTAAACTTTGGGTGCAAGGGTTTTCAGGCAAAGTCCGACCTCCTCAGCATTGATTGGAGCTTTGACATGGCAATTCAGGGAATAACATGTCACAGAGGGCTGAGGACTTTTATCCTCCAACATAAGATAGGGTTGTGAGCAACAGGAGACTTCACAAAGCACTTCAGTGTCGCGTTTACAGATTACAGCTCTGCCACACTTGCGCCAAACTGTTTTTGAATGGTTACTTTGATGGGAAATGGTTGCTTCTTACAGGGTGTAGTCGAGACAATCACAGAGAAGTACGTGAAGGTTTATTTCCTGTACTTTTTTTTTTAGTGGAAGCTTCCCAGGCATCCAACTGATCATCATGTTGTGAACCCATTTGCTGCTGCAGGCAGGACATACCACTACAGCACTAAAAGGCAGTGCTTTACGCAGAGGTCAAGCTACGTTTCATGACAGGCTACATTTGTATTTATGCCACTGGTTTTGTAAGTGGCGTGTGTGAACGTTTTGTTTTTAACCACTTTGCTTAGATTTTTTGCATTTCAGAAACAAATCCGTTGGAATCCGATGTTTTTGTAAAGGTGAAGCCAATCCACTTTTTAATTCTACAATAATTACTTTTCCATATTCCATATTACACGGCAGTAGCAGTGAACTGTTGATTAACGTGTGCCGGCAGAGAAAAAAAATATTTTGTGCATATATATTTGTGTGAATAAATACTGTATTTTTCTATAAAATATTTTAATAAATGTAAATTTATATATATTCATGTATTTCTTGTGTGCTGATCCTGTTTGTGCAAGTGTGTCTGTACAGAGAGATATCCACACCCTCATTATCATATTGGATTTTGTTCACACAGAGAACAACCTGTGGGGCCTCATGTGCCCCGGTCTTGTCAGTCATAGATTAAGTTCAGGTTCAACAGGTTTAAAAGGCAGGAATCACACTCGGAACACACAGAAAATGGCAGGGAAAAATATGTTTATGAAAATGAGACCTTTATTCAGTAACCGCTCATTGAAATGTTCCACATTAAAATCAGTCCTCCTTTAGTACAGTGCAAAAAACCCTTTAAATTCAGACTTGAGGGCAGTCGAGAAGTAAATACAATCATTATATTCTCCAATGAGAAGGACGGCTAGAAGATCTGACCAATCAGAGCACAGTATGTGACTAACATGATTAGAACGTTAAAGGCCACTGACAGACAAAATTCATGTTCTCATGTTTATGTTTGGAAACGCACTCACACCTGTACAAACACTCACACAGCATATAAACAGCATACAAACAGTAATTCCAAAATGCATCGCTGACTTGCAGGTCAAATGTAATGCAGACAGTATAAAATAAGTTAATTCGGATAGTTGTTTTTTTTAGCGAGTGTGTACATTGTTATCTTCACTGTCAGCAGAAAGTTAACATCGATTACAACAGTTAAATTGATGATGGCAGCGAGAGGACGAAACACTTCAGCATCACTCGATGTCGACGCAGCTTTTCATTGGCACATTTGTGTCCATACAGGTTGAGGGAGGGGCTACTGCCCTTCCCTTACTGGCTGATTGGCTGTGAGAGGCAGACAGGTGTCCACTGTACAGCCTTGGGGAAAGACAGGCTACTGGCTGTGCTTTTTTTAAAGAACATGAAGGAGACGCAAACAGAGAGAGACAGATGAGGGGGCGATAAGGCAGAGAGGAAGAGCTGAGCTCATCACAGATGATCTGACGAATCTAGAAGACGAAGATCTTGTCTCTCTGGACGGTGTCGAGGTCGTCATCCATGGTGAGAAGGACCTAGGAGGGAACCAACGATATATTTAAGTTTAGAGCTGCAACTATTAGTTGTTTAATCGAATAGTTGTCAACTATTAAATTAATCACTGACTATTTTGATAATTGTCTAATGGTTTTCAGCAATTTTGAAAGAAAATGTCCAAATTCTCAAATGTGAATATTTTCAGGTTTC